CCTGCTCTTTTCTTTCTATCATTTTGTTTTCTTCTTCCTAGTGGTTTGTACCCTATGTTTGTATTGTTTTCCCGCGCCGTCGTATGTGCCGGGTTTTGAGACCACCGCTTGAAGCCCATCGGTACCGCCGAGAGACAGACTGGAGTCTCTCCGAGGTAGCGTTCGCCGGCGTGCTTCTTGGTAGAGAAATTCTTTGAGTCCTTCGGTTTGGGGTCTTCTAGGCGGGCGGGGCGGCACGAAGCCCAACGTCTGAGCTGTGTCATTCCGTTTGGCGGTCACATTGCACGCAGGGTGTGTATCGTACCCTTTCTGTACTGATAATATCAGCGTATGGTACGACATCGGACCATCCGACGGGTTCTACTATTGTCTCTCGAAGCAGTTACTGCACGACTTCGAACCGGGTGTTCTCTGAATGGTAGTGCGTACCATTGGGAGCTCAATGGTCCAAGACTTCTACTGTACTAGTCTACAGTTTCATCCCGTCTGGTGGCATTAGGAGAGAGACTTGTGCTAAGTAGCAGAGACACGTTAGGATACCGCTGAGGCTTTGTGCCGTGCGGGACGTGTGGAACGGGGGAAGTCTACCTCCGTAGGCCACAGCAAACGTGAATGAAGGCAATTGGAAAGAAAAACAATAAAAACGGAATTGGAGGGGTTTTGCGGAAGGACGACTATACAACGCGATGGTTGGAAGAGCCTGATACGAAGGAAGAGAAAGATGGCTGTTGGCGGTCCGCGGCTCTTTATGAAGGACTTGATTGATATATTGAGAATAGGAAGGCCGCAGACAAATTGTGTGGATGATGAAGGTATGAAGAGGAACTATGGATACCACATCCGCACGTGGCAAGGTTGGTACCGGCGAAAGATGGTAAGTCCGTCGAGCCAGACATGGCCTTCATTTCGCCCTGGTGGGGTAGGTGTACAGCATGTGGTACACGTTATGACAGGAATGATGGATAAAGAACGTGTAAGAAGTAGTTGGAATAAACAGGTGGAGAAGACGCACGTGAAGCATAAACGAGCTCTCTGTCGCTTCGTCCCACGAGGCACGGTACACACGTAAGTGCCAGATGAAATACAGCGATCTGACCTATAAGCGAAGGGGTAATTTCCCCCCAGTTTCAAACAGCGTCGGATGGTGAATGGAACGGAAGTAATCGGGAAAATGCCATCCATAATAACACCACAGGCTCCCGTTAAAGATATGCAACAGATATAATCATATTATTGGAATACTTCGAAGACAAATGAATACAAAATGAGGGCGGCTCGAGAGTGGATACCATGAGCACTGGAAACGTACGTGATTTGACGAGAGAATATTCTTGGTATATAATTCTAACGTTAAAGTATCGATTTTTCGGCCTGCACGAACCGAGCATTCCGCAAGCACAGAGGTTTCAATCACTAGTGAAAAAACTTTCGGAAATATTCGTCCGAAACAGCGCCCAAGGGCGAAGTCAAAACAGTGCGCGTGTGAGAAGTTGCGCAGGGATATTGTCCAAGGGATGAACATGAAAATGTGAACAGCCCCCGTTGCTGCTACATCCCGAAACCTAAATAAGGTGTAGGTAGCCAAAAAAAAACAGACGGCAACGACGGAAACAGGAAGGAAGCAGAAGGTGGAGACAATAAGTTTACGTCCCGCCAGAACATGAAGTTGTCAACATCGAGATGAAATCAAAAGGAAGTGCAAAGAAAATGCCACAAGCGATGGTACATCCGTGAGGTATAGGATGAACAGAATGGCTCAGTACGAACGCCAAAGGAGGAGCCCGCACGCTGAAAAGAGGCGACGTACTCCATGAAGTAAACCGAAAGGACAGGAATGCAGCCGGGCGAAGAAGATACGCACGGGCAAGGTAGAAAAAATATACCAAAAAGGACAGGTTCTTGAGCGGCAGTATACTGGTCGTTTTCCTCCTGTTGCTCGTCTTGTAAATGTTCGTCGTCGTATTACTCGTCCCAGTACGCCCCGTGATTCTCCTCCTCCTCGACCTCCTCGTCTTCTTCCTCGTCCTTCTCCTCTTCCTCCTTGTCCTCTTCCTCCCCTTCCTCTCCATGTTCCGATTCACCTTGTTATTGTTCCGGGTCATTGTCGTCGTTGCCATCACCGTTGCCGTCGTCGTCAGCGTCGGCGGCGGCGAATGCAGAAGGGCCGGGGGTAGTGACCTTGCGTTTCTTGCCATTGTCCTTGGGTTTTAGCGAACGTTTGCGCTTGATATTGCGGGATTTCACGGTAGATGAGGCTCCGCCTCCAGTGGAATGGAACTGGAATGGTACTCATTCATACCGGAATGGGACGCAAACGACGTGCCGTGGCGAACACGTTGGTGGTGAAGGCTTGCCGTGGGCCGTGGAATATGGGCGCTTGGGCTTGGCTGATGGACTGGTGACGATCCGAGAGCGCAAGGGTGCACCAGGAATTAATGATGGTTCATGGTTGGCGGACCCGAGTGAACAACATATTCGCCTGATTGAGAGCGTAGCATCTGATTGAGAGCGAGATTGCGCGATACGCTGTAGCCGGACTACCACTGAGAGGTGGAGCTTGCTGTGTAGCTTGAATTGAAGGGCTAGCCCGTAGCTTCAAGCCGCTACCCTGGTCATCCTG